ATGGATGAATAGAGAGAGAGAGAGCAGAGCAAATAGGAAGAACAAGAATGCTTTGTCTATATTTCCAATCTCTCCATCAATTTCAACTGTCTTCTTGTTTACAAGGTTCAAAACTAAAATATCCTATTGCATTTCAAACATTAAATGATATCGCATCGCTTAAAAACTTTCTACTCCTCTGATTGGTTAGTTAGATTAGTCTTCTAATATCGCAGGTGRAATAACAAAATCAACATTTCTTCTTATCGAATTTACGTCTGAATATACGCGAGATTTTCTGACGTTTTTTTCGTATAATTTATTTGCCAAAAGTAAGCAAAAACTAGTTGCATTCAAATTACGAAGAAAAACTTTACAGGGAGTTTTATTCTGCTACGATAGCACGAGCGATGATAAACTTTCCAAAATCATTCAGGAGTAACATTTTTCTTCCGTAGAAAAGGCGATTGTAATATACTATACAAAAAAGGAATTAACGCCAAAGGAAAGAAAATTAAATGAACCAATTCTTATTATTCTTACTTTTTTTATGAGAGAACAGAGAGAAAACTTAGCAATATTTCAAAAAGAGGGAAAACAATCATGTTATGGGGGGATATATGCATGAAGACTTGTAAAATTAAAGAATACTATAAGACAAAGACAGGAGTGCTAAGATTTTTTTTCTTTGACGATATATTTATTCCATGAATGACTTTTCGTATTCTTCGGCGCTTACGAGCAAGGTGCTATCATTYTTGCTTTCGCTTTGGAAATAAAAGTAAATTTAAAAGTTAGTTTTAAATCGTGTTTCGCCACTCAGAGTTTTAGCTAAAATTCCTTAATCGTAAATTTTGAARTAACTAGATTGACGATCTCTTTAGAAACCAGTCATTTTCAGTAGATTTAWGGTATGAACGTTCCTAACATCCTTTGACCTTTTGAGCCGAGTTTCTGACTTATTTCTGGCTCATTAATGTTTGCTAATGGATCGAAGAGTAAACGGAATATCGCGCTGGTTATGGTTGGAGCACCATTAATGGCGAGTAGATGTTGATATGGATCATAAATGGACTGATAAATGAACGGAAGCTATCCCAGTATCAGAGTGAGTAAATCCTGCCTATGTAATTGCTTTTTCCGTATGCGGAATAAGTTAGGCGCTGCGCTTCATTAGGTWATCCATTTGTGTTTAATCAGAGATAAAACAAGAGAAGTGGTGCCTCAAACACTAGTTCGTTTTCACT